GTTTTAGAGTATTTTCTGTTTGTCGCAATGATATTCAGAATACACTTTTGTAAAAATATGTAAAAAACAACGAACAGTAGATTTACTCTTTTTATATTTCATTTTGATTCTGCCCTGTCTACAAAATAAGACCATTATAAACTTTTTTTTCAGGTTTTAGATGTCAATTAGTCATTTTTAAATATATACTGCTCAAAAAAATAAAGGGAACACTTAAACAACGCACGCTAAGTCCAAGTAAATCAAACTTTTGTGAAGCACATTCAACTCTGTACAGAACAAAGTACTCAATGCGAATATTTCATTGATTAAGATCGGGAGTTAGCGTGCGTTGTTTAAGTGTTCCCTTTATTTTTTTGAGCAGTAATATATATAAAGTATATGAAGAAAATCCAAAGGTTGTCAACCTCCATTTTGTAACCACTTGGGATGTCCTGATGTCACATGGAGCTGGTTCTGGAATATATGAATGTGCAGAAAGCACCAAAAACTACAAAAACTGGAGGAAGGAGAGATTCAACTGACCCTGTCTTCATTGAGTGCAAAGATTTGGGCTCATTTTGTTTTTTACAGAATGAGTCTGAGTTTGACATGAGCTTCACTGTGTGCAAAATTTGCAAAATGAAGATGAAGCACTTTAGGAACACGACAAATGGGCTCACATTGAGTTTTGAATGAAGAAATAGATTTTGAATCGAATCATGAGATAGTAAAAGATTCCCACCCCTACTATCCACGTCATCATTTACCCAGAATGCTTTGTGTGTAAATGAAATATATTTTTAAAAATTATAAAAACTAAACATCCTACCGTATTTTTACAGTCTTTATTTTACAGTTAAAATAAATGTTTATCAAATAAAGTCTAATGTTACAACTAATCCTGGATCCCTTTAACACATGCTGGTGAAGATAATCAGTCATCCAGGTCATGATCAATAAAAACAAAAGAGTTTTAAAACCAATAACTGGACTTTTATTCTGAAGCTGAAGGCTGCTGACCTCAAAAAAAAAAATTTCTGAAGAGATTTTAAAAGACGTTTCAACAGAACTGCCCCAAATTCCAACATACATCAATTTTCTTTCATAAATTTCTTAATTTTGTAGTTAATTTTGTATTATTTTAAGCTGTGTAACAGTGAGGGACAGTTGGTAAAAGAAGACCATATTGGCTATGTTTTGATGTGTAACCTATAAAAGTGGATTGGGGGATAGAGTTTGTAAAAACGTAGGCATTTCCAAACCTAGATTGTGATATCATCACCTTGTAAAGCCTAATGTTAGAGAGGTTAAACTGAAACTAAACATTACAGATATTAGAACATCAGTTTAAGTCTTTTCAGACTTGTGTGAAACAGAATGAAGCATGATTTACAAAAGATTTTGTTTTGCTTAGTTTTGTTTTTCAGCTCCTGTTTTGTGTCATTAAATCATTTTTCCTGCTTGTTTTTTATTTTCTTTTTAAACAGGCGTCTAATATAGAGAACAAACAAGACTGGATAAAGCACGTCAGGGAGGTGATCCAGGAGCGCACCATTCACCTGAGAGGAGCGCTCAAAGAGCCCATTCATATTCCCAAAGCAACTACAGCCAAGCATCACAAGGGACGAAGGTAAAATTAAAAACTTATGTGTTCAGAAAACTAACCCTTTCTACAGACGTGGGTTTTATGAGGTGTGTGCTTTTGTTAGGGATGGAGAGGACTTGGACAGCCAGGGTGAAGGCAGCAGCCAACCAGACACCATTTCTCTGGCGTCTCGCACCTCCCAGAACACACTGGACAGCGACAAAGTGAGCACACACACACACAGAGCATCTGCAGGACTCACCATCGTATGGGTAGAGGTCTTACAGAGGGTCTCTGCCTCCTCAGCTCTCCGGCGGCTGCGAGCTGACCGTAGTGATCCACGACTTCATGGCCAGCAACAGCAATGAGCTGACAGTGAGGCGCGGTCAGACCGTGGAGGTTCTGGAGAGGTGTCACGACAAGCCCGACTGGTGCTTGGTCAGGACGACGGACCGCTCCCCAGCCCTGGAGGGCTTGGTTCCCTGCTCGATGCTCTGCATCGCCCACTCCAGGTCCTCCATGGAGATGGAGGGCATCTTCAATCACAAAGGTTTGGAACATGGTGTAAAAACGTCATTAGTTTAAGGAAGGTTTAAGAAAGATGAGCATGCTAACGTTAGAACTGCATGCTAACTGTGAAGCTGAATGCTAACTGTAGAGCTACATGCTAACTGTAGCGCTGTGTTCTTACTCTTGAGCAACGTGCTAAACTTGGAAAAGTGTGCTAACTTTAGAGCTGCATGGTAACTGTGGAGCTACATGCTAACTGTAGAACTTCTTGCTTACTTTGAAGCTGCATGCTAACTGTGGAGGTGTATGCAAAATGTGAAGTTGCATTCTAACTGTGGGGCTACATGCTAACTGGAACCGCGTGCTAACTTGGAAGCTACATGCTAATTGTGGGACTGCATGTTAACTTTGGGGCTGCATGCTAATAGTATTGGGCTAATTTTAGTGCTATAATGAACTATAATTATTGTAGTCAGTTCATCTGTCTGTGGTGGGCACAGCTAATCAAAAAGTTGCTAACCAGTAATCCACTAAACAAAAGGTTAGCTTTGCTGTTAGTGGATTAGCACAACCATACCCACATCTGTTAGTCAACAATTAATTTAATTAATGTCTGCTTCCTGTGAGTGCGTCACCTGACTCCAGAGCTTATTTTTTTTAACCTTACTAACCCTGGTGTGTCTGCATTAATGTATATAACATTCCTCCACAAATTTAATAATAATGAACTGTGAAAGATGCATTTGAAAATAATCACATGAATTTATCATTTTACTTTTTTATATAAGCACAACAATAACTGTAATACAAGAAACATTGTGAGTGGAAGTGGAAGTACTGTAGTTTATGTTGTTTTGGAGGAAGTGCCACTGTTTAAATAGGGCTTCGAATTAAATTACATAAATTTACTTTTTATAATAAGATTACAAATAAATTACTCGGTGTAATAAACGTCCAACAAGTGAAGTATTTGATGGAGAAAGTTTATGATTCAGTCTTTTTCTTGCTGTTGAAATAATAAAATGATTCAGGTACTCCTGTTTACTCACTGACTCATTAGCTACACACAACAGGAAGGATGGTTATTTAACAGGAGCTTATTCACACATTACTTCAGTCAACATTAAACAACAAGGCAACACAACACATGAGCTTTTTTAGCATCGCAGCTCCAGAGTTTCAGTGGTTCTGCAGTGGAAAGAAAGCTCTTCTTTCAACTTTTGGTTAGTTTTCAGCAAAATATTTCCACGTTTTAAAAAATCCTTGTTTAATTTGCTTTTTATTATTCCTCCTACATTCATCTGACCACAGACTGTGTGCAGTCCTGGCAAACAATAGAGACAACACTGCCCCCAGGTGTTCCTATACTGCAATACGGTTATAAACAAATCTTTGTGGTTTGTGACCGAGGCTGTGTTGATGGCTCTGTTTTTGAAGCTTTAATATATCTTTGTAGTCTAGGTCACTGCAGCCCTGTGTCACTAATGTTTTTGTTAAATCTCCATCATAAAGAGATGTTTAATCATTACTCTTGTCTTTCACAGACACTCTGTCTGTCTGCAGCAACGACTCCATTATGCCAGGTTCTTCTGCTACGCTCCAGCCGGGCCATGGGATCGGCTCTCACAGCTCGCCAGGGCCCAAACGACCAGGTATGGCTTCTGAAATCTTCTTTTTGAAACAACTCAAACCAAAAAAGTAAAACTGGAAATGGGTTATTTCTTGATTTTCACCGTGTTTTTTTTAGGCAACACACTACGCAAATGGTTGACCAGTCCGGTGCGCCGGCTGAGCAGCGGCAAGGCAGATGGCCACGTGAAGAAGCTCGCGCAGAAACACAAGAAGAGCCGCGAGGTGAGGAAGAGCGGGGAGATGACGATGGGCTCGCAGAAGGACTCTGATGACAGTGCGGCCACTCCTCAGGATGAAACTCTGGAGGAGGTGGGTGACGATGCTGCTCATCTCTACAGGTGATCCAAAATGAACGATTCCTGCTTCATCTTTATGTGCTCTCGTACGTTGCAGAGGGTCCGCAACGAGGGCCTGTCGAGCGGCACTCTGTCCAAGTCGAGCTCTTCGGGCATGCAGAGCTGCGGCGAGGAGGAGGGCGAGGAGGGGGCTGACTCGGTACCTCTTCCTCCACCCATGGCCATCCAGCAGCACAGCCTGCTGCAGCCGGACTCACAGGACGACAAGGTGAGGGCAGCCAGGTCGACACAGGGAGCAGCAGAGAACAGACAGCTTGTTCAGAGGGAGGAGCTGGGGTTTGATCCAGATCCAGTGCAGAGCTGTTCAGCTCGGCTCGGCTCTTTCTACCAGAATAACTCTCTAAGATCAGTGTCACTGTTGAGCTAAAGGTTCATCTTGTTCCTTTACTTTTTGACACAACTCAGTTTCTCTCCACCTCATAATGAACGTTTTACAACAAAACTGAAGCAAGTACTTTTGAATTTTTATCACATTTTTTTAATTTAAAGCATAAAAATATCATTTTAGTGACAAATAAAGTAGAGTAAAATAAGAATAAAGCCCCGTCTCTAATGAAAGTCCAGCATCTCTGGAAACATTAGTGTTTTTATCAGTTTGTTTTGGCGAATGAACATTAAAAGTGTCTGAAGTTTCCATTCCAGGCTGGGTTGCCAGATAGAAAATGAACCATCTCACAATCACTTTACAGTGATATGGTTGAATAAGGTACACTTTTCTCAGAGTGGGGAGGTTGTATTATGAGATGTGTGATGTGTTGAATATGTGCGCAAAAAAGGAAGGGGGCTAAAACAGGTAACTCTATTAACTATCAAAATCCACATGGTGTGCAGTAAATGTCGTTTTCCACAAATAAGAGAAGGAATGAAAGAGCTTTGCATCATTTTATGAAAGAAAGTGTCATTTTCTTGTTTGGAGCTTTATAAAATATTTTTTTAATATATGCTCTCAAAGAGTACAAATAAAAACATTACATCACAACATCACAGTGCAACAGGAACTATAAACTGTTATTTTCAGTGGTCCAGTAGGTTTTTTGACTCTACTTACATTTATTAGTAGAGATGGTAGAAATGTCTCTTAAAGTTTGCAGAGCTGTTAATAAACATTGTGGTAAACCACTAATCATACAGATAAAGTCTGATACATCAAACAAGGAAGTAATGCTGCAGAGGTGCTGCTATGCTTTACTTTTATACTATAATTAAGTTTTAAAATTCATCACTCATAACTTTTTGTCTTATATATGTATATAATGTGATTACATACATGTTTTAATATAAGTCAAAAGGATTCATTCTTTTTTATTTTGCTGGTTTGATTATTAAATTTTTCAAATAGTGAGATTTTTCTTTACTTGTCCATATGACAGAGAAGGTTAGAGAAGTTGAAAAGATAAATCCAGCAGTGATTTTTACATTAACTTAAAGTTTATTTGTCATTTTTTTCAATTAGACAGATACAAAAACAGAGTCTGTTAAATGGTGTGTAAATAAAATGTGCCAATATAGTGGGTTGCAAAATTATTCTCCACTTTTTCCACCCGTTCTTACTCTGTTGTCTCACAACCTGAAGTTAGAATAAATTTGGGGGCGTTTGTATCTGATGTTTCGTACATCACTACAACTTTAGGTTATAATTTCTCTGTATTTTTATCCTTCCCTCTTTAACTCTGTACAGTTTAGTTTCTGCTGATGACAAACATCCCCACAGCATGATGCTGCCACCACCATGCTTACTGTAGGGATGTTGTTCTTGAAGGCTAAAAACATCAAAGTACCATGGAGCTCATGTACAGATCCTTCTTGTTTTTAATTTCGTGATTGATCCTTTGACCTGTGTGGAGAGTTCCTTGGTCTTCATGCTGTCTCTTGCTTTGTGGTACTAGAGTTATTGCACTAATGTTGACTCTTGGAGCTGTCAGAGCAGGTTAGAGATTATGGTTGGGCAATATTGGCCATGATGATTAGTAGATGACAGTTGCACTTTCATGTAGCCAATGTTGTCCTCGCACTCCAGTTTTGTTTGTGCTCTAACTGATCTAACAAGTTTGTTGGGTTAGCGTTAGCATTAGTTACTCTGCGCCATCTTCCACCATTAAAGCTTCGACACAGTTAATATTTAGTTGGTATTGACGAATTTAAAGCCTCGTTTCCCCCGTTTATCATCATTAATATGGAGTAATGTGTTCTCGTCCATTTCTTATCAATCAGTTTAAATTCCAGGTTGTGTGGCAACAAAACGGAGTGAACATGAAGGTGGGTGAATACTTTTGCAACACGTATGTCCCACTGTACTGAGCCCGCGAGGGACATGGGGGATTTTTTTTCTTTTTGCGTTCCGACTCAAAAGTATTGCATTACCTCGCAATACCTTTTGCGTTCCCTCACAAAAGTCGTTTATCACTGTTGTGCCTGCCGGTTTATTAACAAACTCACATGTTTACCATTACCGAGTTAACCTACTGCTTTAATTCAGCTTCAGAATGAATATATCACACAGCCACGCATGGAAGAATGTCATATGCCGATATTTGAACACAGTGCAGCCACGCAACATCAATGTCAATTTCACGAACTTGTGGCGACACATCCTGTTTTGGTAACCAGATATTTAAAAAAAAAGTCTGATTTAATTCAGTTCATGCACAAATCAAACTTTTGCGTGGGAACGCAAAACAATATTGCGAGGTAACGCAAGAGAAAAAAAAATTCTCCCATGTCCCCTCGCGGGCTCCGTACCATTGAGTCAGTTACTGAAAATCAGACTCTGTGATCAAGTTGAAGGTAAATCTGGTTTTTACTCTTATATATTTAGTGTTTTGTGTCTGAATTACACGTTGCGGTTTTCTTGTGTTTTCTTCCTATAAAAGGTAATCTTCTGTGACCTTGTAGTTTGAGTTTTGCCTGACGTTTATCTTGACCTTCTGCCTCGTGTTTTCCGTCTCATAGAGCAGCGACTAGTTTTCACGCAGCCTCGACTAAAGTAGATTCTCTTCTGACACTAATTTCTGTTTCTCTTTTGTTTCCTGGTTGTATCATTTGCTGTTTGCCATTCTGTAGCATTACCTTGATTTATGTCCTGTCTTTGCTTTGTCTCAGTTTCCATATCTCTCCATCTGAAAGCCTTGCTCTTCCCCTCTGTCTCCTCCCTTAGTCCGATTCTTCAGTTTAGTCCCCGCCCCCGCTTTTTCCCCACTTTTTAGTTTAAAACGACACAAAGCTTGCAGTGGTTTGATTAAACTTAATTTTATTCTTTTTTTCTAAAGCATTTTGATGAACTTTTCTATTTGAATGAACTCTGAAACATTCCTGGATTTTTCTTAGCGCAGACTTTTAGTGAACGGAGGGCAGCGTGAGCGCAGACCCCGAGGACACTTGGCCTTATTTGTGCTTCATAATGCTTGAGCCTGCTCGATTATCACACACGAATGCATCTTACTTGTGCATGTTTAAGCTGTAGCTTTGGGACGATAGGCTGCTAAGTGAGGAAGATTCGTTTAATAAAACATTAATAAAAAAAAGAAGTGGTTTGGTTTCCTGTCAGCGGAGCAGGCACATCCCCTCTCTGAATCTGACCCACGTCCAGATGAAAATCCAAATCCCCCCACCCCGTGTTCCCATCATCCCCCCCCCCCCCCCCCCCACTCCCTACCGCTCGTCCTCACTCCCTTTTTCCCCTCTGTGCGTTAAACCTCATTACCCATGCAAGTAATTAGCATCTGTAAATGCTGGCGAGGTCAGAAGGGCGCACAGCACAGCAAGGGTGAGAGTCTCCTGAACTATAATCCACACAAACACAAACATCTACCTCTTTATTTTCTCACTAAAGGGCATTCTTTCTCTGTCACCACCACCAGAAAGCAGCACCTTTCTTCCTTCACTATTTAAGACTTTTTTTCCCCTCCCACATATTTCTTTTTCCTTCCGCCTCATGTTTTTTTTCTCCTTTTCATCTATAGTTTCATATAAGTTTATTTATTTTTTTAATAGATGCTAACCCTGGAGTTCTGGGGTTTCACCAGTAGGTTTACATCAGGAAACATTTCCTCCTAAGCCATAGCTCGCACCAGTAACTAACGATGAATTCAGAGATCACGACTTTTAAATTGGTCTCAGTCTAAAAACAACAGCATGACCTTTAACCTTCCTACATCAAGCTTTTTGATCTGCTGTCCTTTCATGGACTTTTACGGTGTCTAAATTTACTTTACTTAGTTGCCACCATTTCTCTTTGCCTGACGTAGCAGAAAATATGTATTTAGGCTGTATTAGACATTTTCTGACTTGTTTTTTCTCCTTCTTTCCGTTTTTGTTCAGACATCGTCTCGTCTGTCTGTCCGTCCGTCCAGTTCAGAGACACCGAGTGCCGCTGAGTTGGTGAGCGCCATCGAGGAGTTGGTCAAAAGCAAGATGGTAGGATACAAACACCTAGCAGAACCTTGATATATCACAACCAGTTTTAATATTAATGTTGTTGTCAGTGGTGGGAACAGCTAACCAAAATGCTAGGTTTACTAAGCCCTAATCTGCTGAACAAGAATCTTAGTTCCGCTAACGCTAATTCAGTAAATAAATTTGAAAAACAAAATTGTGGAAGCTAATGCTAACCGCTAACACAACACCAGCCTGTTGTTGTTGGCTCAATTTGAAGGTGGGTGGGATCATTTGTGGCAAATTGGCCAATCCAAACTAGTTATAGCTCATAATTTGTTATACTTCCAGTTTAACCCTTTCAGAATAAAAGCCTTTCTTTGAACAAGTTTGCATTTTTATGAATGCCGTTTGATGTTAGTCAAACAAAAAATAACATATTTTATACATAATTGGTTTTTGTTTTCATTATTTTAATATTAAGTGTTATCTTTTTTTCTTTTTGATGCAGTTTGAAGTTTAGATGCTAAAGATGCTACATGCTACACTGTCAAGTTTTACACTTGTGATTTTTTTAGTGGACTTTAAATTAGAGGAAGCTAATTAGTCCACTAATGGTTTCCAATGTTAGCAATAAAAAAACACAAGGTAGTTATTAGCGAATTAGAAGAACTGTGTTCAGCCCCTGTTGTTGTGATCAGGGGTCTCATTTATAAAGGATTGAGTGGAAACCATACTAAAAGTGAACGTACGGCCAAAAGGCGGAAATGGCATACGCCAAAAAAAATTCAGATTTATAAAACCGTACGTACGCACGTTTCTGCGCATCTTTCCTTTATAAATCACAGCCGCACGTCAGAGTTTGCGC